GCCACCCAAAAATAAGCTATCTGGAAGGAAGCTGGTCATATCTGTTTTCTTTACATCACATGGAGAGATAAGGACCTTCAAAAGCTGATTCACGCTATCAAACCTGAAGATCTATCTTTGGAAAGTCAATGAGTTTTCTGGAGGTGCCTCTCTCCCCTCATTGATTGCAAATGGAACCTAAGCTGTCTAACTTACAGATAGCTAAAGTTAGGCAAGATGAGTCATTTCTGATGGTTTTACTCTAGCCACTGAACCCAGTGAAACTCCATGAATTCCAAATTCTACTTCCACATGGATGCAGTACAAAGTATTTTAAAACCTGGGCTATTCTTTTCCCCACTTCCCAAACTGACTCTCAATGCTGTGTATGATGACAGATGATACAGACAACACTGGAGACTACAATTAAACTGGAGACTACACTTTGGCTTAGATAGTATGCCGAAAGAGAATGAAATAGCCCGTGTCAGACCAGGCAGGAGAAAACAGACTGCAAAGCCTCCGCGTTTCCTTCCTGGCTGGTGAGAACAAGTGCCACTTTCTTTTAACTGAAGAAAGAAGACAATCCCTATTGCAAATGACTCAGAGAGAGAACAAAGGGTACTGTCAGCCACTTAGCATAAGCTGTTACTACAAGCCTGGAAATTTTGTTTGAAAAAAACAGGAAGAGGACCTAGGAAAATACAAAGCCTGTCTGTGCACATAAACATGCAAGACAGGGAGGTAAACTGAAAAAGTAAATAAAAACTCAAAGATGTTTACCTATGGAAGATCATACCAAATAACACTAGTACCTTTTCTTGCCAGGATAAATTTTCTTTTTCCAGACAAAAGCAATGTAGTGCAATTTAATCCAACACACACCAGCAAAATCATTTAATGCAGCGCCATGCAGGAAAACTCTGCTTCAGGTGGAATAGATGAGGATTACTACAGAGGCTGATAACATTCAAAGGGCTATAGAGTGAGAGGAGATTCTAGGTGGCGACCAAAATATCAATCCCTAGGACCAATAAATACATAATAAATAAATAACTTCATTAGTGACATGAGGAAGCAACACGATGTAAAAATACACTGCCAACATGGAATTTTGAAGAAAGTCTTTAACTCGCAGGAATAGTACTAGATAGCTTTCAAGGAGATGCAGGGAGCATAACAATTTCTTTGGTCATCCCCATGCTAAACCAATACTAAGCAGAAAGGGCCTCAACACACCTCATGAAGAAGTCACGTAGCTGTCTGGATGGGAGATTTTCTCTCGCTCTGAAATGTCTAGGGATGAATCACTTAACAGAAACCACTTCTCATCTATTCTCCCCTTTATCCTTCAAATACAATGTACATTGTTGGTATCGCACCAGGAGAGCGGTAATCTCTAGAGCTGTTAGATACCAATCAATTCAATTACCACTTCATAGTTTATGGGCTCAAATATTCTGTTAATACACGTTTCAGTGACTTTCAATGAGACTTCCACAATTTAGGCATGCAGGTACTTCTAAAAATATCTGACTGAACGCCTTGCCTGTACTCCACAATTACTTGGAATTCACAGGTGTGGACAAAGGTTTATAAGCGTTTTTCAGGTAGGCGAAATTTTCAAATCAATGCTCAGCTTTACATTTGACAGTACTACTCCATCTCAGAGGTTAAAACCTCATCTTAACTCATGTTCAGTCATACTTCAGATGGAATAAGAGCGATATTTTGTGCCACACCAACAACTATTTCAGAACAATGTCTACAGCTGACCTATAATTTCAGAACGGTTAGATTTTGTTTTCGTTCCAAATCCAAACACGTTACTATTTCTAAGCTTAAAGTAAAGCACTTCCCCTAAGTGAATTACAAGGGTTTTTGTAAATTCTAGTTGTAAAAGGCCCTGGACAATGGGCTGACGCAAACCCCTTAGCACTGCTGGAATAAAAGGCATTATCAGCAGATACATGTTATATTATAAATTGTTCACTTAAATCTAACCGCAGCACATCCTGGCAGGCAATAAAATAACAGAACTTTGAATATGTAAACTACTTTATAGTACAAGACTGTTCTTCCACTTCTGCAGTGGAAATGCCTTATATTCAGTGTTTCTAAAGATTTTGCTTTCATGCAACAGTGTATAAAGCTCTATAAAAACGCAATGATCTGCGTAATTCTATCTAATCGATAGTCCTAAGCATTACGAATGTCAGATAGGTACCAATACTAACATTTTCCATTTTAATCACACAGCCTGAACCTCTACCGCCTTTACACATGCAAAAAAAATCAAGAAAAGACAGGAAATGCTGGCTTTAAAAACTGCCTGCGTAAAGTGTATTAATCACATGGCTAAACACTCTTTTCCGCAATGGTCGTTACAAGTTTCAGACAGATGCTGGGACATTCCAGGGCAAAACTCTTGGTGATCATTTCCTAATCATATAGAGCAGCGAGTAAGCTGCAGTGTTTTTGCCTCCCTTTCCTGCCCGCACACCTGCATGTCCCTCCCATTGAGTACAGAGAACAGGAGGGGACAGAGCGTTTCCCAGTCTCATCATGGCGTGGAATTAGGAGGCAGTCCCTGTGCTTGCTCAGAGCTGGAAGTCAGGAAGCACTCCTGCATCCCACACCTAGCTGTAGCGTAATGAACTTACACAGTATCACACAGAAACTCTTATCTACAGACAGCAGCAGTCCAAATGAACTATCCTATCAGATCATCCTTTCTCCTCCTCTGATCTTCTGCCTTGTTACTTTCCAGATTGGTCCTATGGACAACAGCCTCCTTAACATGCAACCCTGACACATGCCTAAAGCAGGTTTATCCATTACACTGAATTAAGCAGCTGTTCTGCAACACAACTGCCTAGGATCACATAGTTACAGAGTCATAATGCACGCACACAGAGCGAAGCCAACGCTGCAAAAACAGCTTTAGTTCTGGCATTACGTAACTTCTAGGAGCTTGAATCCACCATCTAAATGAGTTACTCATGCAAGACGGCTGAGGAGCTGATGGCAGTAAAATTACTGTTGGCTAGCTCCTGCCTAAAAGGCCCAGCTATCATAGTATGTATTGGGTTAAACCTGAGAGCTCCAGCGTACCTGCATTTTCCATTTCAGTTGAAATAGTTAAAAAAAAAAAAAAACACACCAACAACAACCACCACCACCTCATGATTTGATGTCTATTCACTGCACATCATATAAACAAGGATAACATTGAAAGTACATGTTTCTCTTTTTCCACTCTTATTGAATAATTTAAGGATACCGATGTGTGAACTACTGCAAAGAAAACTGAACAGATGACACCATGCTTGATGTGCCTTGACACAACCAAATATCCCAGCTAAAAGCAGTTTTATGTCTTGTCTTTTGTAGGTACGGAAATTTAGGAGTATTACATATTACTGTCACAGTAGTGCAGCAGAGCAGAAATCAGTGTTAATTCCTGATGCGTTTAAACACCAACAATTTCAAGAAAAAAGGACTGAGCTTTCACATGGGAATCAAGATTGTGCTCGCCCGTTGCGGCTTCCCTTGCTATTTGTCACAGTACTTTCCTTTCAGTAGTTATGGAAAAAAGAACGTCGTGGTAAAAGTTCTCAGATTTTCTCCTCATCAAAATATCAGAAAAGGAGATAAAAGAACAGGAAATTTTATTTCAAACTCTTCTCAATATTCTGTCTCTTTTGTCACTCCATGCGTGTCAGTTCATTCGTGTTTCAAACGACGGCAGTTCAAGGCAGGACTTATTTGAACTGATTAAAGAGATCAAACAAAATTCCTGTCTTGTCTTGAGTAAAATAAGGTAAATGTCAGTCAAATTTAACATATTAGAAATTTGCTTAGGCTGAAAGAACTTGGATTTAGACCTCTGAGTTCCTGAAGCTGAATCCTATTCTAGGGGTGCACACACTCTTCAGAAAACCTGTTACGGACAACTTTGTAACTGCCCAGCTATATACTAGACTTGTAACTGCTGAAAACACCTAAGTCCCAGGAGCCCCACAGACAAAGTTTTTGATTAAGTACACGTTAGGAAAGGCCAGAGGTCTTCTGCTCAAAAATCAAAGCATGAAAACCAATCCCATTCAAATCCAGCAGCCTCATGACTCTGAAATGTTCCTTTTTGGAAGGTTAAGTAGGAAAAACCCCTGCAGAGACATGGCTGACAGTTACTTACTTCTTGAGAGAAATTACTTCTCAAACGGATAAGAGGCTCATTCCAAAAAAGGAGGCATACTGACACAGATGGTATACTCTCCTAATCTTCTTCCAGCCCCCATATTATATTCAGCGTTAAAATGTTCACAGAACAATGCAGTTACAACCCCATTTCCAGTACAGGAATACTGAAATAAAGGCTACCCTTTTTTTCTTACTATCACGAGCAGAGAAGTGGACACTATTAACCATCTTAGTAAGCTCCAAATTTGAGCTCCATTACTCAGTAGACCTTAAAGTGGCAAGCAAAGACAAATCATGAATCTGCTTCTCCTTCTCTTTTAGTTTTATTTAAATTTTGAACTTTCTTGTCTCCAAGAACAATTCCTCCTATCTATAAAACATACTTTGGTTTCACTTGTACGGCACATATATTTTTAAACTAGACCCGGGATACCAGCAAGTCTACCTTTCGTCTGCTTAGAACAAATGCGGTGAGACCAGTAGCGTAGTTTAAAGCTGCTGCCTCATCAATTACAAGCCTTCCAAACACCATTACTTGCATTTATTTAAAAACACTGGTGAAGGCCCTTTGTAATTTAAAAATGCTTACTTAAATAAAGAAATTTAAATACATTTTTGAAAACTATTTTTGAACTGCATGCTATCATCCTAACCAAACAGTTTGCTGCAAGATAAAAGAGGGCATATAATAAATCGTTAGTGCAAAATTAGCGCGTTAGATCAGAGAATCACAGGATACCTTCATTTTAAATACAGTGTGTAAAAGATACTCTACATCACTACAGAATCCGAGAACATCGTTTACCAATCAGACTTACCAGTCTTTGTCAGATACTGAACATTCCTCATCACTCCCTCAGTGTAAGCCCCCGGCTCATAATTGTCCATCTCACCCGAAACAATATGAGCTACTCTTGAAGCACGCCCTCGGATCGCGCCCGCTGCACGATCTAAGTTGTCAGCGTTTTGCTCTCTCAATGCAATGATACACTTGTTTACATCCTCAAGAATGTGGCTTTCTGCAAATAAAACAGAAGTTTATTTTTAGATAGCACCTTTACATTTTAGATACACAGTTCTTTTTTTTTTTTTTTTCCTCCCCCCTTCCCAGGCTTGGATATAAATCTTAAAATATGACAGCTATGCCACATTGGCCTTGAAATCTTAAAACTATTGATTGATTCCTAGAATTCAAAGGTACTGCAGCAAGATGTTCCCACGAGAAACAGCAGCAATAAACCAGTGAGTTACAAAACATTAGAAAACATCAAATCCCAAACCTTACCTACACAGTGAATATTTGTCCAATGAAGGAAACTTTATAGGGATAAAAGCTGTTACTTATTAGTGAAACCTTATCAAGCCACTGTGACAAAAGGTTCCATAAAGAGGCGCATCTCTCCAGAGAAACAAAGGTCTCAACAACTAAACTAATTCTACATCTGTGTGATTAGATCTCCGTGTTTAAAAAATTTCATTATGTGAATAGAGGAAGTAGTATCTTTGGCTGTTACCGGAATTACCTTACTGCATATTACGTTACTGCAATACTCTGTATTACTACAAATTGCCTATTAATTATTTATTTTTTCTATACTTTAGAGTTCTTATAATTTTATAGTAAGACATTTATTGCACTATTGTATGTATTATTTTAGACATTACTTGCTGTTTATCTAAATAGGAACGTGCAAATGTATATCCACATAAACATACATAAAGTACTGCCATATCCATATACGATATTGATATATTGTATATTGAATATTTCCTATACTATGATTCTGCACCTCTGGCTTTGCTCCTACAGCTATATTATTTCATGGTACCTTCTTGCCTCAAGACACTCTGCCCTTCACCTATCTCCGTTATCTTGTAACGATAAGAATTCTTTATTCTACTGTCATAGTCTTGTTCCTCATGTAGTCTTTCCTTTATTAGAATTCAACACCACCTCAAAAATTCAAAGCTACACTGAGGAGTTAAGAAATTCTTCTATATTTCCTCATCTACACCACAGTATAGTAACTGGTTTATGGGCCGCTAAATTTAAATGGCTATATTTATACCTCTTTTCTTTCTCAAATCACTTCCATTTCCTAACGTTGACTGCCTCACCATTCTTCTCCTTTGCATACCGTCTAGCATTTCTCTTTTTTCTTCCCACCTCTTCTATGCAAAGTTACTACCATTTGTTTCGCCATACCATATCCAGAATCTATCCATTTTTAGCTTAATGATTAAAATATGCACTGTGACTATAAAAGGCTATATTCACTGCCATCCAAAAACACGTACATGCAAAATGCTTTTATTTCTGGCACAAAAATGAACACAGCGTCTGGGAAAAGGTAGGGAGATGTTGCTAATCTAGGTGGAATAAATGCATGACACGCAGCCTCTGAAAGCCTAAAGGTCTCTCAGACATCAGTTGTTGGATGAGCAAATAGTTGGTTTGAAAATAACTCCGCTAGCCAAAAGCTTGAAGAAAAGAAAACACGCATAAAGTCACCCCATTACTCAAGGGCAGAAAGATGCAATGAAACAAGACTATTTCTTTGTAGCACTATTAAAAAAAATCAGTTTACACCACACTAATCGCTATATTCTGCCCATAGCCAATATGTAACGTTCACAGGGCTTCTTCAGTATTTCATAGAATAAGGTCAGGAAACATCTGGTAGCTAAAGAAGCACGTATTATGTGGTTAAGCAAACAGGTACCCAGTGGTCTGTTTGCTAGGGACGTGACCAGAAGTTGACTGTCTTCCTTAGAGACCAAACAGTCTCCTCCAGTGCAGACAGACCTGCAGGTATTTTGGAAATGCAAGGCTGCTTTTGCTGTTCTCTCTTTGACAGACTACTTCAGTAAATAATAAAAAAATTCTGGAAGTTGTCGTACACTGAGACAACTCGAGCTTCTTGACACGCTTCCGTTCTGAGAGGCGGAGAAGACTGACTCAGTACAGAAGAGAACTTAACTGATCTCAAACCTTTCTTTGCTATTTCACTCAGCTGCATGGGATGCAATAACCTAACTGAAGGGAGTTCCAGGTGGATTTCTGTCTAAGTAGGCTAGAAAAAAAAGAGATCATTAGGAGGGATGTAAATACAGCATGTCACACTAGCATTTCCAAGTTACCCATGCATAACGTAACACGTTTAAAAAACCCAAAGATTTGGCTAGAGCAGAAGGAGAAAATGGTTGCTTAAAAACTGATGTACATAACTGTTGGGCTGACAGAGCCACAAATGAAACGTAGGCAAGAGCAAAAGGGTGCCGGGCCTTGAAAGCAAAGAAATAAGTTTATATTTGAAAACTTGAATGATTTCTCTTTGTAAAAGAAATTACTATGCTTCTGTCTTTCTGAACCTTTTTCCTCAACTGGCATACCTTTCCTCAACTGGCAATAGTAAAGCTGTATTTGTGTTTTACAAACTATTTTTTGATACTACAGAAATGCATACGTAGCAATGCAAAAAAGAACATTAGCAGGCAGGAGGATGGAGAAAATTCTGATATTAAGGGTAAGAGAAGTAAGATTGGTCATGAAACCAAAGACACGAATAGGAACTGAGATAGAACTGGAAGATAATGACAATATCTGTTACGTCAAGAGTTACACCGAAAACAGGAATATGGTACACTAGGATTCCAGGCTATAAGACCAGTATTGAAGAGCATATTGTATTTTTTCAAGCAAACATAAATACATGTACCTGTAAAATTCAACTTAAAGTGTAGCACATAATATAGTAAAATGTAATTAAGAGAATACATTTATGGATTTTCTATTGTAAGAGCTTTCATACTGGTTTTGTTACTGAATTTTCTTTCCTATGAAAAGGAAAGAAAAGAGACCTAAAGAGACCTAAAATCTGCTTTGCCTGTCAGAACGTTTTACAACATTAGAAGGGCAAGACATGAAGGTAACTGATTTGCTGTATCTTTAGAAGTACCATTGTGAAACTTCTCCTGCAGTAAACAATGAATTAGTTCAGAGTATAGGCATTGCTTGTTAATGCAGATGACTGCCAGTTCAGTATGCCGGTATTAGATTATAACTTTATGTTATAAAAAGATAGATAACTGAGCAAGATAACTGAGAAAGCAACACAGTATTATGTAATAGCATGTCTTGTCTGAGTCAAACACGAGTATCCTGGAATTTTGTCCATGTAAAAATCATGAATTCTGGCTCGGTTTATCAAAGTGCTGTATCACAACATGCTTCAGTAAACATGGAATTGTAGATATGCTTTCAGGACGTGTCACCTATCTCCAGAAATAGTTTTAAGAGTAGGGATTTTGTTAGCACTGTTTGTTCAGCCCGTGCCTACTCTGTAACTACTGCCATGCACTACCACGTACATGCAAGTGGGGCAAGTAGGGCAAAGGAGGACTAGCTGTCATTCCAGTTCCAGCCATACCAAAGAAAACACATGAAAGTGTTATTGGGGGGACGAGGGGGATGGAGGAAGGAAAGGGACATACAAAGAGATAACACAATTCAGACTATCCTATGCTGTACAGGTTAGCATCTCCCCCTTCATTTTTCAAGTACCTCCCTCTGTGTACGCTCCATAGTGGGAAATTTCCAAGGAAAACACTTCACAAACATGCACTAGGTTGAGAAAAGCTGAAGCGCTAGAAGAGGTGTCCAAAGAGATGGCTGACATGCACAGAACGCAGGAGGAAATACAAGCAAAACCCCTCCACTTTTGCTGCCCTAGGTGCGTATTTCATCTCTGCGTTAGTTTTAATCGTCTGAAGTGCTAACAGAGGTAATTACAGAAGCAGACACAGCATGAGGTGCACTTTGAGGGTCTCTGTGTGAAGAATACACTGCCTTTCAACTGTTCAGCAAAGACGACGACTAAAAGGCCTAGTCGTATGCACCTGAAGGGTAAGGCCCTTGTGACGTCTACCAACTGAAATCTCAGTAGTGGAAAAACACAAGTAACTGCTTATCTTGGGAGATATGAATCTCAAGCAACTTTCAGAAACAAACTGCACATACTGTATGCATGGAATACATCTCAGAAAGCTCCCAGCTTCCAAGGCCTTCTAAAAGATGTTAAAACCAACAACACTTTCACGGAGAAAGGAAAAAAACTTGAGGCTAGATGCTTAATGGAAGCTCCATTACACCTGCAGGTTGTGTCCTGAGAACCCCGTTATTTGGTTCGGTTCTGAATTGGTAAGAATACTTTTAAGTCATTTTAGAATGTACTTACCAAAGCATATAACAACATCAGGGAATATCAAATGCAGTGTGATATACACTTGCAGATACTGTGTTTCAAAGAATACAAAGGCACACGCAGATTTTAATTGCCATATATTGACCATCCACCTTATTCTAGTAGGTTCGCATGTGCTTTATTTTTTCTCGCTGCATCCATGCATTACGATGTTTAAGGTGTTAGTCGAGAACTTGACGCAATGGCAATTCTTGCCATGTCAACTCCCAAATTTTGGCAGTGCGACAGAACGCACAGAAAATACGCACAAAGAGCATAAAAGATCTTGTCCCACACTGCTACTATCAGTGACCGCCTTTATGAACACTCATAGCTAACGAAATCAGTATCACTATGTTCTGAAGCTCTTCCCAGATGAGACAGTTCATAACCAATAAAACATTGTTTTACTTATTTTTCTCAAAGCACCAGCAGGCTTCTATATATTTGCCTTAGTACGTCTGATGGAAAAGGAAAAATAAAGCACTGATCACAGTCCAGTTGAGTTTGTTTTCACCTGTACCCTTCCTATAAGCGTTTCCTGCTACCATATAAAATGCTTTAGATCAACTTCTGACTTCAATCCAAGTATCCGACTTTCCAGCGCAAGATCAGGATGATGTATTGCTGCCTCTTCGTCATGAGTCACAATGTCTAGTGTAATTTTAACAATGGACTGACAGACATTTAAAGAAGTTGTCAGATTGCCACAGACACCAGAGCAATTATCATGAGTAGTGCTCTGTACATTCTCATTTTCCTTTGGGATCTTGATG